TAAATTCGTATAAATAAATTGAAATAAAACATTAAAAAGTAAATTAATTTCGATTTTATGATCAAGATAAAATGAAAAAAGACAAACTTAAATGTATATATAATTATAGATATAAAAAATAAATTAAAATATAAATATATTACAAATAAATTAAAATCCAGTTTAATCTACCTTAAACCCGGCATTTTTGGCGACTTTCTCACTATCATCCATAAGAACACTGGCCAAACCTTTACCGCGATAATTTGCGTCAACACTGAGGATTCGACACTCGAACAACTCATCCACATCATATTTGGCGAACAAATCGACCTTATCATTCACTTTGTAGAGTAGTTTCATGATCATCTTGAATTTTTCATCATCTAATTCATCGAAACGCCGCTCTTCTTCCTCGCGTTCACCTTTCTTCAGGATTCCGTTTAGTGCCATTCCCGCTATCTGATGAAAACCAATTGTAATAATACTTTATTATCTTTAAATCAGCAGACATTAAAACTTTCCAAAATAAAAAAATAAACAAAACTCAACTTTATGATTAATTTTATTATGATTGGTTATAATTAACAAATTTTATTATTATAAAGAAACTATAGTTATAAGAATAAATAAAGTAATTAATTTAAAAAATATGAAATTAATTTAAAAATTTCTTTGGTTTCTTATTTTGCAAATAAATAATTTTTAAATAATTAAAAATAAATCCGAATAAATTATGATTTTTAAAATCATTTTTATATGAGAAAAAGTCTTTACAAATTGGTAAAAACCTTTCTCCATCAATATCTTCGTTAAAAATGATCAAAATTTAAATTTAAAAAGAGAGTTTTAAAAATTGAAATCTCTATTTTCGAATGGTTAATTTTTTTTATTTATGTGAATTTTGTAATTTTTACATAAAGTACGAGTTGAAAAAAATGAAAAATTTTCTTTTCACTTTGTAGATCTGTAGCGCATTCCCAAAAATTGGAGCAAATTTTCGACTATCTATCGTAAAAGTTTGAAGCTTTTCCTATACAAAATCATTTTTTTTAAATTGTTACAATTTTTTGTTTCTGAATTACTCGCAGATTAAGTAAAAAAAGAACATTCTGACTTTATTGCTCGTAACTCTATTAAAAATTATCGTATCGCAATTAAAAATACAGATTCTTAAAACTGAAATGTTGCTCAAGTAGTCGTTTTTTTTTTAAATAGAATATAAGAGTTGGTAAAAGTCTTTTTACCAATTTGTAAAGGGACTTTTTCTCTAATCTAATATAAAGAAAATAGTGAACATTAAAACACTAATAAAAAATTTATTATCTCTTTATTACTTTTAATCTTGTTGCTTTGTTCGAGTCTATTTGATTCGAATATTTATTTTCCTGTAATATTTTTATATGATGATCGTAAGCGTTTCGGCATTTTATTATTTTATTTTATAATTCATAGACACTAATTTTTAACCAAGAAAATTTTAATAAGTTTTTTGTTCTTTTTCTAAAATTTTTATATTATATATATATGATGTTTGAGTTAATATGACTAGATGGAAAGATTCATATTGTTAATTCCAACGTTTCGAATCTTGCCGTTCACTTCATCAGAGTGAAGAGCGACTAATGAAATGAACGGCAAGGTTCACCAAACGTTGACATTAATAATGAATCACGACACAGCGATAATCTTTTGGCATCTCTGAAAAAATCACCTGTGAAAGCCTTAAAAGATATTCATATTTTAGTATCTAATATTTATTAATTAAAATTTAATAAT